ACAGAGTTTTATTCTATTTTTGACTCCGATAATCCAATATTTCCGCCTTAGCATGTTCTCCATAAGCTGATTTCCTCCATGCAGTGTTTCGATGTGAGCGCTTCGGTTAATATTCCCTGCTTACCTTGACTTCTGGATGAGGATTGGATGCTTGTGATTATAGGGCAATGATGAAAATTCAAGCCTCCCACCAACTCTCATTATACAATTTTGGTCTAGTTGTGGGTGCAATGCCGCTATTTTGCTCCGATGATTTACTTTTCCAGAAAGTGTTCTACTTTTGTTCGTATTCCCTTCAGGCTGTTTATAAAGCGGAGAGTATAAGCCATTACTCGTTTCTGCTTCATATATGATAAGAATTTCATTATTTTTTCATAGATGTAATTTTCATCCTGGGATATTTTCATCGTCGCAACAAAAGCTTAATCTGGTTTACTTTCAGGCCAACTTTTTTCGTCTTCCACCATCCATTCAGGTCTTTTCCACCACAATGCATTGTTTATTAAGGAGACTGGTGGAATACCTCTCGAACCCATATCAGCTGGGTTTTCCTTAGACTTCACGTATCCCCATCTTGCATCGGGTACTCGTTCCACAATATCCATCACTCTATTTCTTATAAATTTATCTTTGTTTTTTGGGTTTTTTATCCATGCCAATGTTATCATGGAATCACTCCATGTATAGATTGATGTAGCCGTCGTCAAAACTCCTTTATTTTTTGCAACAGTTTCGACAAGAGATGTGCTGCACACAGTTCCAGTTTGGGTAGAGTCTTCCCATTTTTTATTGGATTTACCTTGCTTTTTGCGGCTATTATCGTTATCTTACACTCCAACTTGAGGTATTCGAAGGCTGCATATGCCTTTTCGGATGCATCAGCAAATCCATGCAATTGAATTATACTATTTTCTGACATTTCAAACCATCTTGGAATTTTTGCATTCTTGAGGACAGGAAGACTGAGCATAAACTGCTTCCACTCTGTAGTCAACTTTTCCTCCAAAGGAAGATCCCATTCCAACTGTTGTTTCCACAGATTCTGAATGAAGATTTTCGCTGTTACCGTTACTGGAGTCAACCAACCCAATGGATCAAAAATCTTTGCCAGGTATGACAACGCTAATCGTTTGGTTATCTTGTCTTCATTGTTGATCTACATATTAAATGTAAAGCAATCTGTTGTCGGATTCCATTGCAGCCCTAGTGTTTTTGAATACTCATCTTCTTGAATATGCAGCACTTCGTTTTCCTCCGACCGCCTTACAGCTCTTAGTACTTCTGGTGCGTTTGCAATCCATTTTCTCAAATGGAATCCGTAAGTCTCCAGCTGCTCCGATATTTTTTTCCGGACTGTCATGCATTCCTTTTCTGTATTTGCTCTAGTTAGTGAATCATCCATGTAGAAATCCTCCTTGATTCTTTTCGCAATTTTCTGATCTTTACATCTATTTCCAATTTCTATTAGAGTTCTTACTGCTAGAAATGGTGCTGAAGCGGTTCCGTATGTAACTGTGGTTAGTTTATACTGCCGAATTGGCTCGGACTTACAACTCCTCCAAAGGATATATTTGTAATCCTGATCTTGCTCTGCTACTTTTATCTGTCTAAACATTTTCTCGACATCTGCAGAGATGACAAATTTCCACGATCTCCACTTTGTAATGATGTCAAAAATATGCAGGATGTCATTCAAGGACTTCCCATTCGATGTTTTCGCCGAAGCATCAAAAACTACCCTCACTTTTGTGGTTAGACTAGTTTCTCTTAATACTGCTTGATGTGGCATATAATATTTGGCTTGATGTCCTTGATCCACTTTCACCATGTGTTCCATTGATATGAGTTCATTAATTGTTTTCTCATACTCCGTTTTTAACTCAGTACTCTCTTCGAGCCTTTTCTCCAAGTTTAAATATCTCGCCATTGCTCTTTTGTATGATTCTCCTAAATACTTTTCTTCAGTAAATGGCAAGCGAACGATGAATCTGCCTGTGTTGTCTACGCAGGTCGTCTCTTCGTATATCTTAAGATAATAGTCATTTTCCTCGATGGTTTGTTCATCTGCAATTTCCTCTAACTCCCAAAACCGCTCAATTGTTGTTGTGGCTGCAGAACTTTTATTATAACTTGGCTTTATTAAAATTGTTCCAGAAAGGATCCAGCCCAATTTGGTGTTTTATCACACAATTTTCTCATCATGTCGAACTCCTTCTTCCAATATCGGTGAGAATAGGTCAGCACCAATTACTATGTCAATTCTCTCTGGCTTGTTGAAATCTGGATCTGCCAGATTTACGTTCTTCCACATCCTCTGAAATTGAAGTAATTTGCGACCCTTGATCTATCAGGGCTCTCACAGTCACAAACTCTCCCTGCAATGTCTTTACCCGCACTTGGGCTGCCGCTAGAAGTACATTTGCTGTTGCATTGGTATTCATTGTTTTTATATTGTTCCTTTTTTTCCAAATGCACTATTGTTATAAGATTCCTTCCGCACTTCTGACATTTCATTTCACTGTAGCATCTTTTTTCTTTTCCATGATTCAGGCATTTGAAACATATTTGCGCTGACCTTGCCCAATCGTATTTTTCCCGCGAATCCAATGACGAAAATTTTCTGTAATATGCGATATCATGTCCTGATATTTTGCAAAACTTGCATAATTTTTTCTCCGCCACATCTGTCGATCTTTCTTGTTGCTTGTATGTTCCCATATTGAAATGTTTTCTGCTTGTTGATGCATCCAGTGCTTCGTATTGTTGTTCCAGAAAATTTATTACATCGGATAGTTTCTGGATTTCTTTTGACTTCTTCACATTTTGTTCATATAGGATAAGGCCGTCTTTATCAAGCTTCCGTATTATTATTCTTGACAAAATTGGGTCAGCATGATCCAATGGTATATCCATCGTTCTTAAGGCCTACATACTTTCATTCACGTTATCTAGTTAATGTCTTATATTTGATGCTGACTGGCTGTTAATATTTGGATGGTCTAGAATTCTATCCACTAATTTTGTGAATATAATTCTTTTGTTGCCGTACCGGTTTTCCAATAATTCCCAGGCCGCTTTATAATTTGAATCTGTCACTTGAAGGTGTTGCACTATACGAAACGCCTCTCCTTTCAAATTAGTCTTTAGGTAACATAGTTTTTGTACCTCTGACAGCTTGGAGTTGCCGTCGATCATTTTTTTAAACAAGTCGTGGAAGGAACTCCATTCTTCCACTTCACCAGAAAAACATGGTATTTGTACCCGTTGTAGTTCCACAGCCATATTATTGTCTTGAGCCTCGTCTATCCGTTTTATAAAATCCTGCACCTTCTTTTCAAAATTGTTTTCAATCTCTTCATACTCGACGTCAATTTCTCCAAAGTCTTCCCCATGTACAACTGAAAGTTGTAAATGCAGCTGCTTAATCTCGTCGTATTGTTTTTCCCATGAGATCTTCATATACTCCAAAGCGTATCTAGTAACTGTAAGCAACTCGGTTTCTAACACTTCAGTCAGCTTACTAACTTTTTTCCTAATTTGAAATAGGACTGCTCGTATCTGACTCCAGATTGCTCGAGTGGCTTGACTCTGTTTTGTAAAGTCGTATGTAATTCTTGTTCATCTGTCTCGTACAGTGTTCTTAATTGTTGAGCTTGCTCCTGCATTGCTCTCTTCATTTCATCCTGCAGCGTCCTTTGCACTTGTTGCATTGTCAGCAATTGCTCTTGCATATTCAGTTCCAATTGTCTTTTCATCGTTTCTTGTATTTGCTTCTGCATTTGTTCCTGGAAGTTTTTTAAGATGTAGATCCAAAACGTTTAAAGACTGGCTGCATCTCTTTTTCTTTAATTTCTGCGTTCTGTGGTGAAGATATTGCGGCTTTTTGTTGTTTTCCCGGTTCATGCTTTTCTCTCACAGCTTCTTCTTTAATAGCCTCTACATATGCTTTAGCCTTTTCGTAGTAGGTTTGAATCTGTTCCCATATCTTTTCTTGGTAATGGGGATCGCTTTTCTCCCCGTGTATGGCCAGTTTCTCATGATTAACTGTAGCCTCTTCTAATTTATTTTCCATGGACCGCAATGTTTCTTCTACAGCTACTTTCCTCACCATGCCTGATTGTACCTTTTCCCAAATCCCCATTAGTTCTCTGAGGATATGGTTTTGCGTTTTGTATAGGTTTATTCTGGAAGCCATTTTGTTTCGTTGCCAAAAGGGTATTTTTCAAATTATTTTATTATTTTTTTTTCCCAAAGGGTCTTTTCAAAATAGTTTTTTTTGTATTTTTTTGCCCAAAGGGTCTTTTCGAATATTGTGTTTTCAAAAGGTCTTTTCAAATATTTTTTTGCCCCCGTGGTCTTTTTAATTTGCCCCTGTGGTCTTTGTTATATTTTATATTGTTTTTTTTTGCCTCTGTGGTCTTTACAGTTTGCCCCTGTGGTCTTTATAGTTTGCCCCTGAGGTCTTTATAGTTTGCCCCTGTGGTCTTGATAGTTTGCCCCTGTGGTCTTTATAGTGTACCTTGTGGTCTTTGTAGTGCCCCTGTGGTCTTTATAGTAAATTATATTTTACGACCGCTGGTTCTTATTATCCAAGGACCAATGTTTTATTGAGAAGCAAAGAACAACCTTTAAGTTCGGATGTAGTTTCGATTCTAATTTTATTTTACAATTTTTAGTTGTTAATAGCTACCTGCACTAATCTAACTTAGCCTACTTCAGTTCTAATAATGCCTATCATCAATGCACACAAGGGGTTGTTTAGTCCCAACGCAGGATGTGGAATTTCTTTATGCTACCTAGTGATAGCATTGCTATCGTTGTGTGTGGATATTTTCAAATTCTTCCTAAACACACATCTTATCGCTTAACACAAACATTTATCATAAACATACAAGATTCTATATTATTCTAAATCAATAGCAAACCATATAGGAAGATTACACTAATTCTGTTCATATGAACACTAGTAAAATTTCAAAATATATTTTTTTTGTTTTCAGAAGCTGGTATTTACCGAGCAATTGGAGGGAGTTAAGCGCTTGGTGACAAAGCGCTTATCAGAAACTAGTGACTACAACTGGATCACCAAACAAGTGGACTTTGAATTTTCGACGTATTACCAACGAGGAAGTTAAAAGCGAAATGGCCTACAAAATTAAGACAATTCTAAGAGAAGGGCGGATGAAAGCTGCTGAATTGTCAAGGGAGACGAGAGATGTCGCCGGGAGGGAACGCAACAGAACAGCAGCGCCGATTATTGCCCCAATACCTATTGTTCGAACTACTCAGCCACTATCTAATATTTTAGAACAATCGCTTATAGGAATTGATTTCGAATACGACGATTTCTAATTTGGAGCAAGTTTGAAATCTAAAAAATAAACTAAGATCTCAATAAAAGGCTTTTATTAAAAAATATGAATTAAACTAGCATCTAAGTTAAAACAAATATATTCAATTTATTGTTAACATTTTATTTATTTATATTTATAACATTATAAATATATGAAATAAAAGATTACATTAAAAAACTAAAAAAACTGCGAAAAACTACATCTTTATTGAAATTGGCTGTCTTGCCAGATTATTGTTCCTTCATTATTGAAATAATCTTCAAATCCTTGCCGAACTTCTTCTGCAGCACTTTTTCTACTGCGGTCAATTGTATTGCGGACAGGATTTTTTTCTGCATTTTCTATTGTACTTTCCGCAGGGGAAGTTAAATACGATGCCCTTTTTTTGGACACTAAATTATGCAGTGAGTGTTCTGCAAGCATTGTTTTTTGTTTGGTTTTGTTTATCATTTCTAAATCACACTTTTGGGCCGATAGCCTAGTTTTTACATTTTTTGTGGTCCTTAATGTTTTTAGCATTTGATGGGAGAGGATTCTAATGCACTGACAATTCAAAGAGAGAAAAAAAAAGCAAACATAAATAGAAATATGGCGAGGGTAGGGTGAATGGATAAACAGCACATATGTGTTCATTACAATTATTTTCCGAATATGCACACACAAATTCGATGGGTTTTCGTTTTTCCCTCATTTTCGGAAAATGATTTCACGTTTGTGCATGTGATATGGTGAGATGAAAAATTATGCATGTATCAATGCTGCGGACTGTATGTTGAAGCGGTGGACGAAATTCCGTGTTTTGAACGCCTGAGAAGATAAAAAAGAAAACCACTGAAGGGAAATCCGCCTCGATTGGATCAAATGTTTTTCTCCGTGATTTCGATAATGTCCCTTTAGATTTCCTTATCAGTGCGAATTTCAGACCATTAAGCTCGACTGGAAAGATAAATAAACAAATAAAAATCACATTTCTTTGAATTACGTTTTTAGTGGTAAGGAACTTAAAATGTTTATACCATATAAGCAGGTCGACAGTACAATTGTTTTTGAATTTATATTGTAAATATGTAAAACAATCCCACATAAGGGTTCACAACGCTCTATAAATTGGTGCAGTGTAAAAATGAAACAAACAAGTTGAAGGGATATTTATAAATTTATTCAATCATATGTTTTATTTACAAATTTATTTGAATTGCATATTATGTATGTATCAGCGAGTGTTCTCGTTCATCAAAAATGGCCTTAGCATAGTTTATCTGTAAAGAGAAAAAAAGAATCAATTAGATTTTTTCTGAATTTCAAAAAATTAGGTTTAATGAATCCTAGAAAATCTAACCTTACAGGTCACTACGAAAACTGAAGTGAAACGTGTGTGTGTACATATCAGCCTTTTTTGAAATTACGATTTCCCATTAAAATTACATTACTTTGTTGGCGATTTTGCGACATGTATTTTATTAGTTTAGGGGGTCCGTATTAATGTTCTGTCAGTGGCAGTGAAAGAATACAGGCCAATGCATCAACGATTGGGAACATTGACATGCGAAAAATGGTTCAATGTTTCTTTAAAAATAAGTAGATCTGTATATGTTTTCCTATATGACCCATCGGTTCGATGCGGCTGCCTTACAAATGTGTTCAACCTGTCGCTAGGCAGCCACATCGAAGACAAATGTGGCTTTTATTGTTAGTACCGAAAATTCCTGTGGGTTTACTTCTTCCAATCATTAAAGAAAGCTATCCAGTTGCCAATCATCAACAAGAGTCCCGCCCGTAACATATTACCACAACCTTATTGCTTTCGATACACGCACGTATTAGTCGAAGCAGGCCTAGTGATAGCAGACCCAGACGTAAAAAACGGTCATATTCTTTGTCAAATGGACTGCAAATATGTAAACGCAGTCCATTGTGGCTTTTATTGTTAGTACCGAATGTGGCTTTTATTGTTAGTACCGAAAATTCCTGTGGGTTTACTTCTTCCAATCATTAAAGAAAGCTATCCAGTTGCCGATCATCAACATGAGTCCCACCCGTAACATATTACCACAACCTTATTGCTTTCGATACACGCACGTATTAGTCGAAGCAGGCCTAGTGATAGCAGACCCAGACGTAAAAAACGGTCACATTCTTTGTCAAATGGACTGCAAATATGTAAACGCAGATGAATTTGCAGGGACATTAAATTCCGATCTCAAAACTGCTGATCTCAGACTGCTGACCTGCGAACTGCAACGGGGTGTCTCTTCCGGTGGACTGGGCTCACTATTTTGTAATAATCGAATTGGATTATATATCTATTGTGAATGAAATGAATTTTTGTTTTTCTCTATCGAGTCCAAGTCTCACTTTGTACAAACGTTCGTCATACCCCGAGTTAGGTTTTTCAAAGAACAAAAAATTGACCACGCCTCCTTTTACGCCCAATATTTCGATTTATATAAAATCCTTATATTTGCCGAATAATATCGGTTTTTTTAATTCGTGGCTAATTCGATTAAAATTGTATATTGTAGTATTGAACGGAAAATGATCGGAAAGATGAAGAATTCATTTAGAATTCGAAAACCAAATTCTTTCAAAATATGTGCAGACTACTCGGGACCATTTCGGGACAGTGTAAAGTCATCAAAGCTTTCGAAAAATGACTGTCAATGACTACAATTATACGTATGAGAATATTTTGTTTACTCAGAGCAAGCGCTCAAGCGTCTCTTGGGAGAGAGATACACTTTTATGATCTCTCAATTTTGTTACTCTTTGATTCCATTTTTTTTCAATGGTTTGTGGAGAGAATTACGCATTTGCTGGGCTCTGAACTAAATAGTGTTCATGAGATTTAACTTGTGTGTGTGTGCTCTCTTCGTGACCCAATGGGCACTAATTTACCAATTCCTACTCTCGACAAAGACCAGTACCGGACAGAGAGTCACATTTTTATGTTTTCTCAAATTTGTTACTCTCTGCTTACATAGTTTTTTAATGGTTCTGATTGTGTGTGAAGAAAGTTACGCTCTCTGAGAGCTCGTTCTGATGCAGTTGCCTCGCCCTGATTGAGAGTACATACAATTCGTTGCAATTGAGTCTTAATCTATATATATAAAAGAAAGTTGTGTTAGTTACTACGCTTATAACTTAAGAATCGCTGGACTGATTTTAACGATTCACACAAATTCGGAATTGTCTCCTCTCCGAAAAGGATAATATCCAAAAAAATCACGTAAAAATGTGATATATTAACATTTTCATTTTGACTTTTGAAATGTACAATAGTAATGTTTTATTTTGCATGATTTTTTTCCATTTTGACTTACTTTTTTCTAATGTACATTTGTAGTGTTTTTTATATTTTATTTTTGAATTTTTATTTTGAATTAATTGACTTGATTTCTTGAGAACTGATATTGATGGCGGGTTACATGGAAGTGTAGTGCCGAATTATGTGGTGGCGAAATGGAATATCGAAATAATTGAACGCGGTCACACCAAAGTTAAAGATAATTACTTTTTCAAAATCGCTAAAAAATCACAAAAAAGAGATCTCATTGCAAAAATTCTCAAATCGGAAAAAAATCTAAAAAAAAATCATTGGAATCGAATTTAAAAATAATAGTACATTCTATTGACAATCTTTACAAGGATCTTTAAACATTTGCTGTAAAAAATCAGCGAACAAGTTGAAGATTTTTTCAATTTGTATTATCTTATTGAATTCAATGGAATTTTTTGTGAACAAAATAAAGAATAATTTTTCAATCTATATAATTTTTACCAAAAAATTAAATAAGTGCGAAATACTATGTAAACTGACATCTACCTTTCAATTCCAGGGCCTACACCGTTTTTCAGCTGGAAGATGCGAACACATTTAAACAAACAAAAATGACCGAAAAAAACCTAAGGGGGCTCATTTCAAAGCCTGGGCCTATTTCTTTCATGTGACAATAATCCGTCCAATGAGAGCTCAAAATGCAAAATTCTTTGGGAGTGCAATCAGTAAAATACCAAATATAAAGGGTGCAAAATAGTAGAGCGAATGGGACTTTTAGTAAGAAAAGGATTTCTATCCTTTCCAAACATTCAAGATACCTTAAATCGCTTTTGCAGGTCATGATATCGATCATAATTCTCGGATAAGGGTACAACCCTATTTAACCCATATTTATATAACCTCCGTATGATTTAAGATATTTTTGCGGTCTTGGCCACTTTTTTCTTTGTTTGGCCCTTATTTGGCATCTTTGTTTCTAAGGGGTAGAGAACCTCTTCGCATAAAATTTGAAATTTTCAGAATAAGGTCAATATTTGTCTTGACCACATTCATCAATTGATTTGGCTAAAAAATTGTATTTATGCTACCCTGGGGTGGGGAACCATCATACAGAGTGCCACATAGGAATTTATTTAAATAAAGTCCCCATATTGGAGTATCCCCAAGTCCACTTTCACATCTAATGTGTGGTCAGAAAAGAAAATATTGTATTCTATTGAATTTGTGACCCCCAGGAGAATATTGGTTAGGAACGTATATTTGGGATGTAGATCTATATGAAATAATTTGTGAAAACATGAACAAATTACAAATATAAGAAAGTAGCGCGGGACCAAATATTTGCTGAGTCGTCACTGAATTATACTATGATGAAAAATATGGTCTTTATGGGGTCTCCAACTTACAATTTAAATGGCAAATAAAATTAATTCCCACTTTACGGTAATGGGTGTAAAATAGTAATTATATTTGACTATTCTGAAATCATTCTGTCCTCATTTATGAGGTGGATAAAACTATTTTTACTTATTTAAATCACTCGAATTTTTCAGTTTGACATGCTATGCTGTTCCGCTATATTTTTAATTTGGCCTCTATTTGTCACCTTGGATTATAAGAGGTAGAAGAAAGTTTTCAATGTAGGTCGGAGTAGTGCCCATATAAAGGTACCTCCTGATTTTACCATATTTCTAAGGATTTGGCTAAAAATGTGTATTTGCGGGGTGAAAATCTTACACAAACATTTCAAGATATCTACAAAATTTTAGAATTAAATATAGGCACAGGTATTTCAAAACACTTTTAATCGACCAGTACGTGAACACTTATATCAGTCATATCAGTGAATAATTATGCTTGGGAAAATATGCATAATAGACAAAAACTACGGGCCGGCAACGCGGACCGGGCCAGCTAGTTTGTCATATTTTTTATTTTGGCTTTTTAGCACAGTTAGTCAATAACATTGCCGGCTTTCTTTTGGCAATAGAAAAAAGGAGTTGAGTTTTGGGTTATACCGGTATATGCCATCAATATTATGCAATTCCGGATTGCTTTATGGTCATAAATTATAAACATATTTTCCAACAATGTTTTGTGATTTATGTACGTTGTTGCTTTTGTCGTCTCTTCACCCATTTGTTACTAATACAGCTACTGCTGCTGCTGCCGTTGTTGTGATATTTTTTATGGACATCAAATGAAATGAGGTTAAGTGGGAATTTATATGCGTGTATACATTTGCATTATTTTCAAATCAATTGTTGTTCGTTGGTAAGAATCAGTTAAAAACAGCGGGAACGATTTGGATAATTTTTTTTTAATTGTTCGTCCTACCACGACTTAGTTTTTTATGCAAACAAAAATGACAACGCCCAATTTTACGCCCATATACCTAAAATCCTAATATTTGCCAAAATCATGAAGATATCTGTTCCACAGTTATTGTACGACGTAATCTGACTTGGGGTCAGAGGAACTGGCCACAACTTCTTATATAAATCTATATGTAAAAAAAGTAGATAAGTATAGTAACACATCCGTTGAGAACGGCTGGACCGATTTGACTCAAATTTTCTTTTGGTTATTTGTAATTACAGTGGAAACGTTTTCATGAAAGACAATTTTGAGAAAAGCCTCTGGAAAAATCGCAAAACTG